CTGGCGCCTCCCGCGGCCCGCCCGGGCGAGCGGCCTCACGCCGGCGTTTGTCCCTGTCTCGCTCAGGTTGTCTATCAAGTTCCGCTTCGGGAGAATCACGTCTGGAAGAGAAACGTGGACCAACAGCTAAGAATTAAGATTATGTATGACAGAAGCGTTGAGGAGTAAGTATGGTGTTACAGTCACTTCTTTTTTCCCTGTCTAAGAACACAACTCCTTTTGATTAAAACTTTTTTTTTTTAATATAGTTTGCTACCTGAGAAAAGACACCTTATAAAGGTATGTTATGTTTGCTTTGGTTTTTTGTTTGTGTGTGTTTTGTTACATGCGTGGCGTTAAGGTGTTGGCAGTTTAATTACAGGCTGTGAGCACCAGCTATTTCATATCCCTTTAATCGGGGAGACCAGGACTTTGTGTAGGGGTTACTCCTCTCTCCCCAAATACTGTTCTGTCAGTGCTGCATAACAGCTGCCTCCTCTCACCTGACATGCAAAGGTTTCAGTGAGCAATGTGTTTTTTAAATTTTTTTTAACCTTAGGAATAATTTGAGCATCTCTCCTTGCTCCTCTGAGATATTTGTGTCAGTAAAGCGTAAAAGAAAGTTCATCAGCCAAACTGTGGGCTGCAAAGAGGTAGGAGCTCCAGGGAGATTTGCGATGGACAGTTCCCAGTGACTAGTAAGTTCAGAAGGGAAATAGATTAAATATCTTTGAAGCTGTATATCCAAATCATGACTGGCTTCATTCTCATTCTGTCATTCCAGTAACAAAATATGGGAGCACTGAAAAAAACTTTTCTTATGTAAGTTGATAATAATTGAATTTCTTAAGAAGTCATTAGGAAGTCTAGATCTCTGCTGTTCTGCCATACTATGGCATCTAGGAAACTTCATGGAACTTGACTTACCTTACAAGCACTAACTGTTATGTTTGCGCTGGTACTAGGTGACCTTTATTTTTGTTCTGTTTAGAACAAACTTTTTCCACAAGCTATTTCTTATTTGGAGAAGACTTTTCAAGTGCGCAAATCTACGGGTACTATACTGCTAAGCAGGTATGTGAAAGTTTGAAAATCATTTTCTATATTTGATACTTAAGATTGTATTGCGTAGACTTTAAGAATAGAATAAGAGCATAAGAAATTCTTTCGGGGATCAGACCCATGGTCCGTCTGGCCCAGTATTCTCTTTCAGATACTGGCAGTAGGATATGCTGTTTAGGAAGAATGCACGAACCTGACCACCTTCTGTGGTCAGCAGCTATATTTGTTATGTCAGAGTTTTAAAAGGGTATGCACCCTGCCTCTTTCCTTTTGTATGTACTTCCATTTATGAACCTGTTCCTAATCTCTATTTGAACTGGTGGATACTCCTGTAACAACTGGAAACGTTGTGTCTTCTGGTACACCATGACTAAATGTTTCTCCCCCATGAAACTTACAATGCTACTGTATTAAATGTCTGTAGTACAGTGTTACCGGGTGCTGTAAAACTATTTTATGGTTCATTTTGAATTCAGAAATAACGCTGACTGTCTTTCGTGCTTGATTGAAGGCAGTGTGCAACAAACCAGTATTTAAGGAAGAAAGCTGACCCTCACAGATACTGCCGAGGAGCCTGTGCAGACCAAACAAGATGTGGGCCAGTTATAGTTCCTGAGAAACATCTCCAGGTAAGCTAAGCCATCTCAATGCTTTTTAACATTTGAAGAAGAATGGCTTGTGGGAATTACTGAAAAAGTTAATTCGCCAACTGTGCATGCCTCATTCATGGGAGATTACTAGGTTTGAGTGGCAGAACAGAACAACTTGATTTAGTGGGAGGTTCTTAGTTTGTGCTACTGACTCAAAAGTCAAATAAAACTTGACTGTTTACTGTCCTTTAAGCTTGCAGTATGACAAACTGTACAGAGATTATGAGATTCCAAACTGTTGTTGTTAAATATCATATCCACTTTTAAAGTATGACCAGCTACTTCATTATTCTCTTTGGTCAATGAGTCGTATTTTCATGGAACCAATCATAAGTTTAGGTTTTGAAACCTCAGGTAGAGAGATTATCCACTGAACCAGGAGCACAGCACAAGAAATACTTCTAACTAGTTTTCTGATACAAATTTTTGATTCAATAGAGCGTGCGACTACCAGTTCTCTAGCTTTCTCTTAGCTTGAAGTTTCAGTTTAAGTATTAAAAAAGTATCACATTACAGGGTATATACGAGTTGCAATTGCATTTTATGTGTCTGCCAACCAAAATTTTTAGATTGATAAGAAACAGTTCCAATTTTGGGATAGCCAGCTTGACAAGCCCTTTTTTCAAAAGCTGCCCCCTTCCTAGCTTCTAATTTTTAGATCACCTGGGGACAGTAAGCTAACAACTTTCAAATGACTAGCTGTCTTGATTTGTTCTTTGGCTCTGGCTTTGTTTATTGTGCCCATAGGGAGTTCTCTCATCTTCAGGTGTCTTAAGATGGGATTTATTCTTGACTTTGAGCTAGAAATGTTGTATGACAAAATTCAGCTATCATAGCTAATATGTTTTAATTCTTCTGTGTGAATATTGTCAAAGCAATGCAGGGTATGCAATGAGAATGAATGGCACTGTGGACCCATTGGCTTACCTGACCAAGAAGGTGTTCGAGATGCTGACTTTGTGCTTTATGTTAGTGCTCTCACTACTGAAAGGTGTGGCCATGAAAATATCATTGCATATGCAGCCTATTGCCAACTGGAAGCTGAAATGGACAGGCAAGTATTCACTATACGCTTTTTTTTTAAAAACTTTTGAAGTTTTTTAGGTGTTCACATGTGTGTATTCTTTGCCTGTATTGTGTATAGCATACTAAAGTAAAGGTGTTACGAATGAAGTAAAACAATTTCTTCTTTGATGGTTAATTATGTAGTATATTTGAACTAAAGAAAAGCACTTTATTCTTGTAAACCCACAGAACAAATAAGGATGATCTTGCAAAGCTATGGCGTATACATAAGGCTAACACGCCCCTGTTTTTATCTAAACTTTGTGTCAAGATGCTGTTTCTGTTGAATGTCATATTTTCACAATTTAAAGAATGGAAATGGGCCCTACTTACCTGGCTTATGTTTCTAATTCAGTTGTAGTCATTGAAACAGACATCTTGTAACTGTATGATGTCCAACCTAAAATTCAGTTCTATACTGTTATCGCTAACTTTTGTGTGGAATATTGGAGATCTACAGCTAACGGGCATGTACTTATACATATATTGGGAGGTTCTCTTCCCCCCGCCCCCCAATCTCAGCAGTAAACTAGCAACAGTACTGTTAAATGATTTATAAATGATGGAGGAAACTCCTTTGGAAGGACTTGTTCCTACATCAGCCTTTTGTCTCCATTTTCTTTTAAATCGGGTAGGAGGGTTAAGTGTTGCTTTCTTCTTATTCAGATGAATAGGATTTGAATTGGGTAGTGTTTTACTGAAAATAATTTAACTCAAAAACTGTCTTCCAGGCCAATAGCAGGGTATGCTAACTTGTGTCCAAATATGATTTCAACTCAAGCTCAGGAATTTGTTGGCATGTTGTCTACAGTGAAACATGAGATTATCCATGCACTGGTAAGGCTTGATGTTATAAAATGCATTTGTGGAAATTTGTGTTCACTTCCTACGTTCCTCCAGCTCACTGCAATAAAGAAATGATGCAGGGGGTGGGGGGAAACTCTTGCTTACCTCCTTCAACTCATATGCTAATGGTCTTGAGGTGCACCTTTATAACTTATCAAAGGTTTCTGTTTGCTTGATTTTTAACTTCAAGGGTTTCTCTGCTGGGCTGTTTGCATTTTATCGTGATGATGATGGAAAACCTTTAACAGCAAGATCCATGGATGGACTCCCTCCTTTTAATGAAAGGTATCTTATTTATATATTTATTTATTGGACCCTCTCAATTCTCCCATTGTATTGAAGGATATTTTTCAACATGCTTTTTTAGAAGTATTTTTGCTGTCAGCGTGTTGAAAATCCCACCTGATTCCTTTATTGGAATGCTCTGCATTTGTTATGTTCAGTGTTGTTTTTATTTTCTTTTTAGTCTTTCACTGCATTAGTGTTAAGCATTTGTAATACCCACACATTAAAAAGTAAGGGAGGAATTTATTTATTAGGAGGCTAAATTAAGAATTAGAATAACCCACGCTCAAATTTCAGTGCTCCCCGGACACCTTAGTAAACTGAGGTGTTTTTTTTTTTTTGTCGTCCATCTAATGTTAGTGTATTTGATTTTATTTAAGACATATATCATTGAAGCACTATGGAGAAGTGACAACATGTGTAGTCTGCTGCATGTTTTTTTTGACTTGTTATTCTGTAAACAAATTGCAGTGTTGGGGTTTTTGGTTTTTTGGTTTGGAGCTCCCCCCACACACACACACTTAGCTGATACTGTTGCAAGGTTGTAGAAATGTTCGTTTAGGCTTTTTGAAGATGGACAGATACAGAGATTTTTGCTGTTTTCTTTTGTTCAGATTATTTTTTTCGTAAGAGGAATTTTCAGGGCTTTTTGATTCCTTCCTTACAGGTCTAATAACTGTAGCAAAGTCTTGAGTCTGCAGACTTTTTTGAGTAATTTTACTTGGTTTGGCTTATTGAATCAGAGCTGAGTATATAGGAAATGCGTATATTACGAAGGAGAAATGTTGCCTAATAAACTTCATGAAGAATGAGAAATACAAAGATTAAACTTGATTCTGTTTGGTTATGGAGATAAATTTCTGGCTCATTAGCCTATGTTTATAGGAAATAACTAAAACCAGTTACTAGTCTGCAACTAAAACATTCTTCTTACAGTCTAGGTTTGTATGAGTGGAGCAATAAGGTTATGCTTAAAGCTGTGAGGTTATGGGATATACGTGGTGGCAAAATGCTGCGCCATGCTGTGTATCTTCTGATAACACCTCGTGTAGTTGTAAGTATGGATTAACTTAAACTTTTATACTTTGTGTGCTAAGATTACTGTAGCATTCTTAAGTCATAAATATTTCTTACTCTTTAAGAAGTAGTAACCTAACACTGGATACCTTTTTCTTAAAATATGACCCGAAGAACTTGCAATTAAGATGGTATGATTAGTTGAGAGGAGTACCTGAAGTAAGATGGAAAATGGTTGAAGGATGTTATAAGATAGATAAATTGACATAATACGAGACAAGGATAGGATTGGGAAGCAAACTGTAAGAGGTTAAGCAAAACTGATGTTAATGAACACATTCCTTAATCCTACCGTTCAGATGTTTTCCTACAGACTTGTTTGGAAACCTTAGGCACCTAGTACTCCTGTTGCCTTTACAGATAGTGTTGATACATTTCTGGTAAAACGTTAATCCTCTTTTTTCTTTTCTCATGCAAAAACACTATTTTCATATTCCTGTAACTTTATCCATTACAAAATAATGCAGTTAACATTTTGTCCCATCTAAAAGAAATGTCTCAAGTATGTCTTTCCTCCTACGTTTTTTAACACAAAAAACAACACCCACCCTTTAAGTATAGTAAGCTAGGACTGGAAATGATTTATAATACTAGTCATATTTGGTGACAAATAATCCTTTTTGGTTTAAAACTAACACTGTATATAGAGCAAACTTTGGTTAATTACCTGTATTTTTTGAAATATTGGTCATGCTGGCCAAACTGTTCAGAGTATTAAGGGTGCCCCTACATAGGGGCTACACTATGCTTTGGGCTCCCGGCCATAAAAGGAGAGCAATGCTGTGATGCCTCTTAAGATTTTCAAGTGCTTTGCGGAAAACGTTTTCCCATGCAAAACGGTAGTTGGCACATACTGCTTCCTAGCAGAAAAGTATTTGTCTCAAAATGTTCCATAGAAGCAGGGTTGTAAGTGTTCGTACACTGTTACTTTTTGATAATACTATTTAGTGTCTATGTTCTTTTTTTCAGATAATAAAGCAGCAACAGAATTATTTCCAGGAGACAAGTAGACGAATTGTCAGGCTTGCTGTTGTTGTGGGATTTGCTAGCTTAGTAGACCTGTCAGTAAAAGAAGTGTTTTTTTCATTCAGAGGAAAATAAAGCAGTTAAAAAGGAAATGCTGAAATACTTTTAAAAGATAACTCTTTAAGATGAGAAGTGTATACGTGAGTGTCTTTCCGTATTTTGAGAGATGTATTGAAATGTCTCCTTTGTAGGAGGAAGCTCGGAAACACTTTAATTGTCCAATCCTGGAAGGAATGGAGCTTGAAAATCAAGGTGGTATGGGTACTGAGCTCAATCACTGGGAGAAGAGATTGTTAGAGGTTAGTGCTAATATAAGAAATATGGGGGGATGTTGAAATACGCTCCACCGCCCTTTATTTTTAGTTTTATAGTGGTTCCTATAGGAGCCTTGAAACCTGAGGTGTATCAAACCTCACTGAAATAAGTCATAAACCATACTAACTTACTAATACGCAAATCTCCAGTTCCTAGATAAATCTATTATTTTACCTCATTATTAATTCTCAGGATATGAGTTTGAAGTGAGTTGACTATTAAAAAGCTAAATATCTCTTAGTTTTTTCTGCTGTTTGCCCTTTTGAGAAGGTGTACCCCTTTTTTAGGGGAAAGGGGATATTCCTTTGAGTCAATTCAAATTTGTCATCCTCTTTCTCTTACACACTGAATCTTTGAACATTCTGTCTGTCCATTACCTTGACTTCATCTCTGTTCGTGTGCCCTCTTCCTGGTTAGTTATTGCCGTTGCCACTAGATCCTCATCTGATCAAGGAACTAATCATTTTCCTCCTGGTATTGAAATTTATTTTTACTTATAACTTTTGTTTCTTATTGCAGAACTGTGATATTTTTGGCTGAGGTACACTTTCTAATTATTGTGTACAGTGACCTAAACCATAAAGAAAATGCATCAAGCTAGAACTTTTCATGGAAATGAATTAGAAAAAATATGTATTTCTTGACCAAAACTGTTGATTTTTTTTTTTCCTAATTTTTATTAAATTTTGGTGTGGAACTGAAGTTCATAGCCAACTGCCATTAGAATGGGAATAATTTTAAGAACTGAAAATGGGGATAGTTTTAAGAACTGAAAAGGATTAGCTAAAGGGAGACTGGAAAGATGGAAAGGAGACTAGTAATAAAGAAAGCTCTTGTCTGGAAAGTTACCTACAGGATTTGGGTTTGGTCTTGAATGAACTCTCGGTAGATATTTCCATGATAGTGCCAAATTTGCTAATGAATTCTGCTGGTGATAACTCCTCACCACCACACTAGTGCAGAGGGAAGGCTGGAAGACTACATGGTGTGAAGAAATAACAGAAATGAGACAAAATTCAGTGACTGAAGTCTCAGAGTTACATAATTGGGAGTGGATGCCTTTGCTGTAAGCCTGAAGCTTATAAAGTGGAAATGACTGAGCAGGAGAAAGATGTGGTGTTAACAATTGTCAATTACAAGAAGGCTATGAAACTCCAAGGTGTTCAGAGTTGCTGTTTGAAGATGTCATGAGCATGCTTATTTTTAATAGAGATGGAGAATACTGTCACACTAATGAAGCCTCCTCTGGAGTGCTGTGTTTCTTTAATTGTGTTCTGTGCACCCCTTTCCTGAAAAGGGCTACTAGATATACTAGGAAAATTAAAATACAGTTTTACAAGAGGGAGCTAAATGAGCTTGACTTTCAGCCTGCCAAAAAAGAACTGGAAGGGTATATGGTTGCTACTGACAAATATGCCAGAGGAAGGCAGAGTTTTATTTTAACCCTAAATTAAAAAAGGGTACCAGTTGGTCATGAATAAAGTTAAGCTGGAATGTGGAATAAGGCTTTTGACTGTTGGGATACTGAAGCTTTGTATGGGTGGGATGGGGAAGGGAGTTGCAGTTTTGATTCCTTTATGAAAGATGTTGGGATTTGGTCATCTATGATAAGAGCCTGGAACTTCTTATTCCATGCCCTCCGAATGTCTGGCTCTGAAATAAAATGCTTTTTCAGAACAAGCGTTTTCTTACAGTAATGTTAACCATTTTTCAGGGGCTTACTAATAGTAATTGGTAACTTTCAGAATGAAGCGATGACTGGATCCCACACGCAGAATAGAGTCTTTTCCAGGATCACCTTAGCATTAATGGAAGACACTGGGTAAGAGCTAAGAAAAAGAATAATGTTTTTTTGTTTCAAGTATGTTTGTGTTTTTTATTGTACTTGATGTTATTTGGAACTTGTGTACCTGCAACATAGTAATAATTCGTATAATTAGCATTACATTAGACAAGAAGTTATACCAAGTATTTTTTCCACGTGTTTCAAAAACCATCCGTGCTTAATCTATCTATAAAGAACGTGCATTGCAATACTTAGTTCTCTTTGTGTGTTTACTTTTTTTCTTAATATAAATCTTTCTCAGTTCCGTGTGGCTCATACTGACTACTTATTCAGCTTTTCCTGCAGATAGAAAGCATTCATGGAAGAAAAGCAAGCCTGTCTAGCCTAAGATTTCATCTTTGTCTGAGTACAGAATTACTGTATTTATGTAAGCCCATTAGAAAAAAATATTTTTTGGTATGCTCTGCTCCTTTGCAGATGCATTGCTGTTGAACAGATGAGCGGTAAGCTTTTCTTTTAGTTCATTGTGACTTGAAAAATAGTGCAATTATAAAGTAATTAGTTATGGACTTAGAGAGCAACTGTCCTGTTTCTTCAACTGAAGACCTTATGGCATAGCATGAAGTTCTTTGACCTGCTGTCTTATTAATTAAAACACTTGTTTCTATGTAACTATCTTCTCATTTCAAAATACCTTTACAGCTGGTATAAAGCAAATTACAGCATGGCAGAGAAATTAGATTGGGGACGTAACAAAGGCTGTGATTTTGTAATGAAGAGCTGCAAATTCTGGATCGACCAAAAGAGACAAAAGTAAGAGTTGTCTTTTTTTGTTTAAGAGAGAAAAAATTCTGATGCTTGCTTACGTTGGCCTTTTTTCCAAATGCAATTGAGTAAAAAGAAATCAAGGTAGATACAGATTAACAAGGAACGCTCTCACAAATACTTTCGGAATGCAGGCAAGAAGGACGCACACCAAATATGTTAAAAATAAAAATGTTCTACCCAATAACTACAAAACTAAACATCTTAGGACGTAGGACTTATTTACTCTGTGAGAGGACTCTGCTGAGGGAGGAGGGAAGTGCAGCTGTAGCGTGCTGCACTGCTGGATTGTACTTAAAGCAACAGTAGTAGATGATACCCATCTTCAAAATAAAGCCTGGCTTGGTTTTTTGTTACAATATTTGTAGACTTAAAGGACACGACTGCATAGCAGACACATCTTGTTGGGTTTGTAGATATTTTTTCTTTTTTTACCCTGAACTTTGTAAAGCAATATCATTAAAACAAAATGTGCAAGTCCGTTGTGATTTTTTTTTCTGACTTGATATTCTTTCATACAGAAAGTCCATAACCAGGCAAATACTATTAATGAGCTTCCAGACAAGAAAGTAATGCTTTTTGTGACTGTCGACTCCCATTCTCCCACACGTTTGATCAGTCTTGACAAACTGTTTAGTTAAATTATGAAAAGCACTTAATGTGATCTAATGTGACTTTGTTTGCCTTTTATGAAGGAGGCAATTAATCAGTCCATACTGTGACACTTTGAGGAGTAATCCTCTGCAGTTAACCTGCAGACAGGACCAAAGAGCAGTAGCAGTGTGCAACTTACAGAAGTTTCCAAAGCCATTACCTCAGGAATATCAGGTATAATGGATCTTGCTTTACCAAATAACTAAGTATTTGTGTTGTTGTGTTTTGCAGCCATGTGATTATATTTGGATGTTTTTTATTTTTTTCTTTTTTCTTCTGAACTGGTAGATGAGAATAGATTTTTGTGAAAAATCTCTTCTTTTGAAAGAGAAGCACTAAGTTTATTGTAAGAAGTCTGGAGGCTTAAAAAAATTTCTACATGATCTTAATGAAACAGTAACAGTGTTGCTTGGATCTTTGACCAAATTCCTGATGAAGCAATTGCTTTTTTTTTTTTTTCTTTAGTCAAAGTCTCCCTGAAACGTTTTGTTTGAGGTGCCTCTTTACCTGATCTGCCACCTGGTGTTGCTGCGTACTAAGAAATTTGTAGGGTGTGGGGAATATTCAGATGTGAATCTATACATAGTTTCTTAAATACTTCGAGCTCATCTGGTTCATAGGTGTTGTAAGTTGCTGTTAATAGCATTCTTATAGTTATCACTGAGGTTACTGCAGCTGTAATGATTGATTTCTATAAAAACCAGCCGTATTCTTGTCTCTGCATAAACTGCTTCACTGCCTGTTTTATTTTGCAGTATTTTGACAATCTAAATGGAGTGCCAGCAGAAGACTTGCCCTACTATGGTGGCTCAGTAGAAATTGCTGATTATTGTCCTTTTAGTCAAGAATTTAGTTGGCACTTAAGTGGTGAATTTCAGCGCAGCTCAGACTGTAGAATACTGGAAAACCAACCAGGTCAGTTTTTAGAACTTCGGTATGGTATTTGAGAGACTACCCTTTTTTAAGTGTGAGGTTCAGAAAACAAGTTCTCTGTGCTCTTTAGTGCATTTGTTCTTTTGTGGTTGATCTGATCACTTTTATTTTGACTTCTCAGTGTCAACACTTTCTGTTAGCCTCCATTTTTCTTAATGTACGAAATCAAGTAGACTGAACTGGATCTTTTTTGATTCTCTTGTTGTATATGCAACTAATTGGATGTCAAATTAGTTTTAAACTACCAGCTGTGCAAAGGCTCTGCTGGGAGGAGAAGCACAGCACAACTATCTTGTGAGTGTTTGATTCTTAGATATACCTTTGACACAAGAATCACTTAAGAGCCAAACAGAAATTAACCCTAATTGACCCTGATGCAAGGCAGAAATGTGTTTTTTTTACTTGTTTTTTTTAAATACACACACACACACACACACACACACACATACACATATATATGTTAATGTGGCTAGGAGGGGGGAGTGGTTTGCTTGCCGCCTTTTTTTTTTTTTTTTTTTTTTAAAATCTTTAAAAAAAATTTCCGAATAATTCCACTTTGCATCTTTGTAGGTTTTTGTTCAAGGCAAGGAGCTTGGGGAATTGCCAGAGCAGAAGCCTGTCTCCCAGGACAGTGCATTAACTTTCAATATTGCAGAGCTCCAGAATGCTGTTGGATATTAACAGTCTTTTAAAAAAACAACAAAGAAAGTCCACCAAAAAGACCTTGCAGCAACAACACAACCATCCTGGGGGCAAATATAACCACATAGTCCTGATGGGTAGTGGCCCCTCCCTCGCCCTTCCCCCCCTGCCCGAGTTCCTTCTGACTTAATATATTTACTACAGTATGATTCTCAGATAGGACAATGTTCACAAGGTATGCAGATCTGATGAACAGTCTGAAGGGTCCCAGAAGTAAACCTGGAATTGCCTGTGAGACCATTCACTAATTATGATAAATTAAATTAATTTAGACTTTCTGTTCACTTAATAAATTGCAATTCAGTGTATTCTTTCTACCTTAGATCCTACCAAAAACTATGGTGCAGAGAAATATGGACCAAACTCTGTATGTCTTATTCAGAAATCTGCTTTTGTCATGGAACAGTGCAGGAGGAAACTCAGTTACCCTGACTGGGGTAGTGGATGTTATCAAGTAAGTATGTTACTACTGTTTTTGTTTGGTTGTGTTTTTTATTATTAAATAGCATAAAAGGAAAAAAAATCTGGTTTGAAATATAGCCTATGACTATTAGAACTTTGTATTTGGACGCCGTACATGATCTTCTCTGTCTTAAATCACTAGATTATATGACATGCTTTGGAAATAAATATTTTCCAATCATAAGCCTGTAATTTAGATCATGCATCAAATTAAGCACACGGCCACTGAAAAGATTTGTGTGTTACTTGACATGTTTTATCCCTGTGATACTTTCTCCATAGCTAAATGGAAATACTTGTACTGGAATCTTTTGCTGTTGAAATTTAACATTAATTAGTCATGCTATTTTGGGAGGGGATTTTCTGTTTTTTGTTTCCTTTTTCTTCCAGAGGAGAAAGCACTGCACGCACAGCATTTATTTTTTCGTTATCCTCTTCCTCTGGGCAACCTCACTTAGAGATATCACTCTTGAAGACAGCGCAGCTCTAAAAACGTACATAGTCATTAGCAGAAACAGAATTTTATTTGTTCTCAAGTGGTTGTTACCATAATTGCATGAAAAAAGCACGGTCTGTGCGTTAAGCATCCTTGGGACAAATAGTTGATTTGAGTTCTTTTAATGTACTTCTAGTTAACCTGTGCTGTATGCAGGCTGTTTACTGAATGTAATATTTACTAATAGAAAGAACTCTAAAACTCTATATAATGTATTTTTGATAAATCTCAAAGCAGACCTGATCTTGTTTCTCTGTTTTTAAGGTGTCTTGTTCTCTGCAAGGGCTGCATGTTTGGGTCAAGGACACTGCATACTTGTGCAGTCACTCGGGTCAAGTATTAAGTGTTAGCATTCAGATGAATGGCTGGGTACATGTGGGGAACCTAATCTGTCCAGCCTGCTGGGACTTTTGTGATTTCTGTCCCCCTGAACGGGATCCTCCTGCTTCCAACTTAACAAGAGTTGCACCAATTGGTAGGTTGCCTTATGATTTGCAGAAGTGAAACTTAAGATAAAAGGTTTGAAAACACTGAAGGCTTGTGTAAGGGGTTGGAAAGTACTAAATAGTCCAGGAGCTTGCTAGTGGACTGCTGGGAATCACTAATAGTGTTACTTGTTAGTGATTCAGTGAATTAAGTTGCAAATGTATATATTGAGGGGGGGGGGAGGAGACAATATATAAATTACTATTTATTTACTTATAAATCTTGGTATGAATCTCTGAGAATGGTGGGACAGCTCTGGCCGTCAAGGGAAGGAAAGGAGAGCCCTGGCCTTGCTATTCCAAGGTCCTGAAGATGTAGGAGTTAAATGAGGATGGGTGAATGTACCCTATTTTTTACTGTGTAGTTATACTTTTGTTTCTGGGATTAAGCAAGTGGCTTATTTACGAGAAACGTGTCTGAAATAAAACTACTTTTCTCTCATATTTTTCTCTGGTGATCCTAGAGATCTAGCTTTAGCCTGTGACCTTGCCAGCAAATCGGGTGTGTGTTTTGAAGGCTGTATGACTTTTATAACATCTAAATCCATCATCTTAGTGGAAAATTAGTGCTTGCTTGTATAATTTCCCATTGATAATATTAATGCAGGGATCCAAAGCATGAGTGTTGGGTGTCAGTTTGCTTTTTAACAGTGGGAGAGGGAAACTTAATTCACTGAGTACTAGTTAATATTTTATCAGAAACAGATCACCTCCTAAAATGACAATTCATAAGAGAACAGTCTTTACAGTATTTCACACTAGCGGGTTTTTTAAGCCTTTAAACAATTCTTTAATTGTTGAATGTGCTGTCTCAGTGCAGTTTTCTAGAGAAAATAAATGTGCTTAGTTTAGCGATATTTACGATTCTCTTTCAACCTCATATGCTTTGGTTTTCGTATACCATTTCATGTAGTTTTATTTTTGTCTCAGAAATGGTAGTATTTCAGTGGTTGGTGAAATGACTCCTATAGATTAGTTTTTAGCATGAAAAATCCATACAAACTAGGAGATATGAATTCAAACAGATGCTAGCACTCAGGTTCACACCTGGTGTAGTCTTTTTGGTTTTGTTTTTTTTCCCATATCTCTTTATCAATGCAGGTTTACATTTGTATCTGTCATTTTCTTAAGCCTTGCGGCTATGTAATTACCTACCGTGGGGACAAACTGTGTTTCATGTGTTGGTTTGTTCTTCCTTTTTTTTTTTTTTTTCCCCTCCTCCTCTCGATTCATCTTAGTGTTCTGTGGATTGAGTTTTTATGATTTACAGCCATACAGATCAAAAATACTCATAAAATGATCTTTCAAGAGTTTGATTTTGAAATGCAGCTTCTCCCCAATCATGCCATAGTAAAGTTCCCACTCTCTTCTTGCAATCGGGATGTTTTCTCATTTGTTTTCCTGTTTGTTCCTGAAGGAGCACAGAAATTTATTTAATTATAAGGGAATAATCATGTTGTTTGGTTATATTGAATTTCTAGCCTTGAAAGCTAGAACAAATCAGTGCAGATTATTACAAGTATGCTTTTTTCCTTTGTGTTTTTTTTTTTTGTTAGTGTTCTATATTCTATTCTTTCTTGCCTCTACCTGTAAAATGTATTGCTTATATGCTGTTTTGTTTTTTGTTTAGATTTATGCTCATGCTCATCCGGTCTGGTGGTTACCCTCTGGCTATTGATGGCTAATTTAATTCCCCTGCTAACAGGATTTTTTCTCTGCGTGTGGAGCTAAGCATGGGGAAAGAAGGTGTTCCGAGATGGTACCATCATGCTGCACTTCTTAATGTGAAGCACTGCAAGAGCTTTTTGTCTCTACAGGCAGCTGTACTGGCTGACCCTCTTCTCTCCTGGCAAGTAGCAGTGCTGATAGCTGCCAGAGTGGTACTGACGACAGCAGCCAGAGTTTGAGAGGAGGAAAACTTACATTGTCATCTCAATAAGTGCCAGTATTTTCCTGAATTACGACCTTTCATTTTGACACAGTAACCAGATCCACTGTGCTGACTGTGTTAGACTACCTGGCAACTCGGTAAAGGTTTGAAATGGGAACTTTTCTGTTACAAAACTTGGGTTTTTTTTTTTTTTTTTATTTGTATGTCCTCTGTGTGACTGGTAGCAAAGCATCCTCAAACTGGAAATATACCTCAGTGCTTTAGTCAAAAGCCATGTGAAAATCAGCTGTCATCACTGCTAATAACCCAGGCCAAAATTGGTGTGGTTGGTTTGTTTGTTTTTGTCAATTTTTAAAATTCCTTTTGGGGGGGGGGGGGTGTAATGGGGTAGTAGACCAGTTGTTCAGAATTGCTTCCACAACTGGATTCCGAAGCCTAGCCTAGACTTCAGAAATCATAGTATTATATGGTTAAAATTTCTAATTCTTGGGGTTTATTTAAAACTTAATACATGCACAAAGTTGAATTTTATCCTAGTAACCAAGACAACTATCTACAAATCCCATTTTCATTTAGTATGTGCCAGTTGTGAAATTTAGTACATCTAATATTTGAATATTCTCCCAGTAATTTGCCAGGCAAATGCATTTTAATCTTGATACAGTCTGTAAAATTGGGATAGGTTTTCTGATTTTGGTGTGTGTGGGTTCCCCCCCCCCCCCCCCCACCCACC